GAAGATTTTGATGAAAAAGAGCAAGTCCGTTTTTCGGTTTAAGGGGTAAAAGAGAGGATTTTGATGAAAAAAGAGCAAGTCCGTTTTTCGGTTTAAGGGGTAAAAAGAAGATTTTGATGAAAAAAGAGCAAGTCCTTTTTCGGTTTAAGGGGTAAAAGAGAAGATTTTGATGAAAAAAGAGCGAGCCCATTTTTCGGTTTAAGGGGGAAAAGAGATTTCGAAGAGAAAAGAGCGAGCCCATTTTTCGGTTTAAGAGGAAAAAAAGATTTCGAAGAGAAAAGAGATAGCCCCTTCTTTGGTCTCAGAGGAAGAAGAGAAGATATTGATGATAAAAGGGATAGCCCCTTTTTTGGTCTTAGAGGAAAGAAATTTATTAATGATTATACAGAAGGAAAACGGGCTTTCCATGCACTGCGAGGGAAGAAGGACGAGTCATATATTGACAATTACATAGATGATCTTAGAAAAGCTTATGAGGAACGATCCACCGAGTCAAGGCCGCCATTTTCTGAAGAAGAAGAAGAGAAGCGCGCAGAACCCTTTTATGGCCTCCGTGGCAAACGATCTTTGGAAAGCAAAGAGAGTGTAGAATTGAATTAGGTAAGAAAGCTAAGACCGACAAGCTAAGACAGAATTATATGACTTAACTTTTTTGGATATGTTTTTATGTTTTTGGATAAGAAGAAGTCCATCATTTAAGAAGTTCAAATAACAATAAATAAAAAGATATGCTTTATTGATGTGTCTTAAAAACCATTTGTTTTCCTGGTGGATTTAGCATTAAACAAAACCCATAAGAAATCGTGAACTTATCAACAATAGCTGTTTGAGTAAACTCAAATTACATCTTCCATGTAGAGTCGTCAACTTTTTGGAGGCCATAGATAAGCCTAAATAAAGTGTTTTTAATTGTGTACCAGTTTAATGTCGAATATTATTTATGATTTTAACCTTCCTAGCTGTTTGAGTAAACTCAAATTACACCTTCCATGTAGAGTCGTCAACTTTTTGAAGGCCACAGATAGGCCTAAATAAAGTGTTTTTAATTGTGTACCAGTTTAACGTCGAATATTATTTATGATTTTAACCTTCCTAGCTGTTTGAGTAAAAAAAGAGGTTACCCCTTCCTTCGTATTGCACGGTTCTCTGTTGGTGAAGCGAATAAAACCCTCTGAAAAATAAATCAAAATGCTAAACAGCAAGGACACGAACTAGCTAAGCTAACTTCTATTGGTTAAACAACTAATTTGGCATCGTTTCCAGAGAAGAAATGTCAAAAATCAAATAAAGTTCCATCTCGAAGAATCAAATTTTCAAATATATTTCCCATTCCGAATACTGGATGTCCAAAACGACACGCTGACATTTTTTGTTTTGTTCTTTGTTTGTAATTAAGCACAAAGCTATACAATGGGCTATCTATGCTCTGCCCACCACGGGTATCGAAACCCGGATTCTAGTGTTGTAAGTCCGCAGACATACCGCTATGCCACTGGAGGGGGGGGGGGTTGTTGTTGTTTTGACCAAAACGTTACGAATGTTATTCAGATTTAGTCCAGTTTTTTATTTTATTTTATTCTACAATGATTTTAAACAAAAAAGTCTATGAGCGTATTTATCTGTCTACATTATTTTCACTTCTTTTTTTACAATATTTCTAGGACTGAAGAAGAAAACGATGCTCACCATCAGACCCGAGATAAAAAAAAAGAATAGAAATCACTCCTTGCTGTTTCTTCGTGTAAACCTATTTTCAAGTTCACCTTCTCTGTCAGTTCTGTAACATTTTTTAATTCTTTACGTATTTTCAGTCAAAAATATATTTTAAATCCGTTCTGAGCCTTGTATATTTTCCTGTTTCTAAAGTCATATTAATAGTTACACCTGCAATTGATAAAATTGAAAGCTGCAAAGTCTAATAACAGCGACATTTTATTTTCCTTTATAATAATTCAGCTTTTATGTTGTATGATATATATATATATATGTATATATTTATGCCAGAAGTGTAGACAGTTATTAGATGCAGCGTTACTACGGTCGAATAATAAAATCTTCATTGTAAAAATGATTTGAATAAGTATCAATTGATATAAAATACACGCTTGTTCACAAATACTGTATTATTGTTATCCATGTTATCTATTAATACACACACATATATATATATGATACAATTTTCTCAAATTATTATACGTGTCCACACTACACCTGGTGTTCAAATGAAACATTGTTACCAGCTAATAATGGCTGGAGACGGCTTGAATGGGTAATGAAGAAAAACTTTAATATAAGTCTA